ACAACAATCCTTCAGAAAGTTACACCAGTGTTCGAATCCTTTTTATTTCATGCTTTTCTGTGCCCCAATGAAAACACACGGCCCCCCTCCTGGGCCCCTGGTACATTTGGTCTAGAACCGCCACTGGACCTTCTGACCCTCTTTTTTTTTTTTTTCCTTCCGCCTCTGAGTTTTTTTCCTCCTCCAGAGGTTTTTGGATAATAAGCGGTTTGTTCGCTGGTTTCTGAGCTGATCCGGGGCTGAGGCGTCTCTCCTCTGCTAGTTCCTGACCCATCGCATTTATTCTGCCCGATTCGCACAAACACACGGAGGGAGGACCGAGGAGCCGCCGCGTCCTCTGAGAGGAAGAACTGATTCAGGTCAGGAGGATCAAAGCAAAGCAAGACTCGCTGAAAAGCAAACAAACGCTGTGGAAACATTTCAAAGAGCTGGCACTGATTAGCTTACATGCCACCGAATTAACCCTTAGACCTGTCCGGTTCAGAGAAAATAAAAAATGAGCCCCTTTCTAGAACTCAATCCGCACTGGAACCCGAACTTTGAAAAAACCTCCGTTTTCTCTCCGAAGTCTGGTTTTGGTGCCTAGGGTCAGACCAACGTGAAGCAGCAGAGGTCACTGACTCACCAACTGGATCAGAACCAGCGGCGAACTCACCTGTAACCGATCCTCGAACTTCTGCTGGGTCCGCTCGTCAATTCTAACCTCCAGGCGTGCAGAACTGAACCGGGTCCAGAGGACGAATAGAGCAAATACGGACCGGAGCGAGGATTTTCCTAAAGTTTAGCACGGAGCCGCTTCCGTCCACTGCGTCATGACGTCAGGAGCGTAAGAAAGAGGGCGGGGTTAAAGATGCTCCTGATTCATTTGATCCAATCGAAAAGTGAAATTAATAGTGAGGGGCGGGGCTATGTTTCAGCCACGTCAACGGCCTTTTTTTTCAAACGGAAGTCACATGACCTTCCACAGCCTGACATGGCGCGTGGAGACGGAGCAGAAATATTCCATTAATTTGTGAGAAAAGAAAGCTTAGTTAAAGAAAATGAAACTAATATGTCAGGAAGAAAATCATCTCTACATTTTTATTAATGTAACAATCTAATAAAATAAAACCTTACTATATAAATTAGAATGGAATCAAATTTATATATCGTGGTTTTATGAGTTTAAATCATAAAAAATGCGATAAAAAAATCTATATAATTATAAATAGCCTATATTTCATTATACTAATCACCCAAATGTTGATAAAAACAATTCATTTTGGATAAAAATTAACAATAAAGATTAATTAAAATAATTTTCAAATTAACTCCTTTGCTTCAATGATCTGAACCGTTATTATAAAATCATAACTAAATTAAGAAATTATAACTATATTATAATAAAATCATAACTGAATTATAAAATCATAACTGAATTATAAAATCATAACTAAATTAATTATAAAATATTACTAAATTATAAAATCATAACCAAATTATGACAAAATCATAAAAAAGTTATAAAATCATAAGAGTATTATAATACAATCATAGCTAAATTATTAAATAATAACTAAATTATTATAAAAATCATAACAAAATTATAAAATCATAGCTAGATTATTATAAAATCAAAACTAAATGATTATAAAATCATACCTAAACAACGTGACGGGGTCAGGGTCGTGCAGACAGATAATGGCGGTTCAGACGAGTTCATGTTTTTATGATGTTACAGAGACGCTGTAACCTCAGCAGGTTGCTGATCTTATCATTGTTCTGAGCTTTTATTGTGCTGTCCATCATCCATCTGAGCACGTAACGCAGCTATAAACATTTCATTCTCCTCTTCTTTATGATTCAGGTCTGCAGTCAACGTGCAGGACTAGCACTAGTCCTCTTTTATCATTTTATTTATTCTGGTCAAAGTGTCCTTGCAAGCAATTAATTATCTCAATCCTGTAGAAATAAGGTTTATTTATCTATGGACGGGTCCGTCTGGCTCTTAAAGAACAACCCCGTCCACTGTGTCACTGATTGTAGGAGAGAACTGGAGTAACTGATATTTATTACATGTTTTTAGTAAAGAAAATAAATAAAGGATTTAAATTTTCTCTTCTTTAGTGTCTCTGCCCTGTCTGATCAAACCCCCAGCTGGTTGTGGCAGAGGGCCTTTCTTCCGGCAGTGACGTCACGGTGCGGTTAGCCTAGCGCCATTCTCCCCACTTTACGAGCAAAATCAATGGGAACTACTAGACACATCTAGACCATCCTGATCTCGCGAGCTTTCAAGGTTTCACTCGCTAATTAGTCTGGAGACTCTCCGTTAAAGAAAATTTGGAGCCGTTCACCAAACGAACGTCCAATCAGCGTTGGCTTTGAGGCGGGTTGAGGTGTGACGCAACGAGAAGCGCGACAGTTCAGTCTAAAGAACATGGCGGCTTCAGCCGATGAAACTAGCGTTAGCGTGGCTATCGAGCAAGTTTTATCGGAATTACAGAGTATTTCTTCACTGAAAGAAGAGCAAAACACTGCTCTGGAGGCTTTTCTCAGAGGAAAAGATGTTTTTGCTCTTCTCCCGACTGGTTTCGGCAAGAGTAGCCTGGCTTGTGGTTGTGTTTTCGTCGTCGCTCTGTTAGTATGTATACGCTTCGTTGATCTGATTGTTTATATGGCCCGTCTATCACCAACATAGGCCAATCAGCTAACCAGTATTTTCGCCCCTTCCCAAAATTACTTCAACGGAAGGTTTCCAGATGGATATGCGAAGCAAATCCATCAAATCCATCTGGCAGAGTCAGGTTATGACACATCTGCAATCAACAACAATTATTGAAGATTTCCAGATGACTTCACCATTAAAATTCACCAGAGCTATAGTGAAACTGACAATGCCCACGTGCATGGCAGCTGGATGCTGGAATACATCGAAAAGAGTTATTCCACCTTTCTGATTCCTGATCCTCCACGGACGGGTTGGTCGTTGGATCGCCAACTTGAAGAGGGAGGATTTGCCATCGAACTTCTGGCCAGAGAAAAAACCCGTAATATGTAGCCAACATTTGGAAGAAGAATGTTTTCAAGATGACTTGGATAATAGCGCGTTGTGACAAACACCAGATACAGCACTGGGACTTGATCAACAGCCGATACCGCACCGTGACGTCACTAATCAGTAGGTGGCAGTAGTGTTCTTTGACAAACATGGATGCCTCCAGTAAAGCACATTCACATGAAAATTACTCTGAATTAAAAACACTGATCATTTACTGAACAGGATGGAATAATTTCATATTTAAAGAACTTTTAGAAGTTTGAATTCAGAATCTGACCGGACTTTTCCTTTAAAGCGGAGCTTTCCTCTGCAGTCACTATGAGGGATTGCCGGAAAGTTGACAACACAGAGCAAACAGCTGTGCATGGTGGCCACATGCTCCTCCATGAGGAGTGAAGGACTCGCTGCAGTCAGCTGGGTTTTAGTCATTGGACCCGTTTATTATTTGGTGGCCTTATCTCTGCAGGTAATTATAGGAATGACTGAAACGTGTTCAGACACAGAAAGGACATAAACTGACTAAGCAACAAAATATAACGTTTTACCCAGACCATCAGGAAAATCCTCCTGATAATAAATCAGGTTATTTTTTTCCCCCAGACAATATTCTGTTTTGATTCAAAGAAACTTTGACTCATTTGGATCTTCTTGAGGATCTGTGCTCCTTTCTTTCTTCATATTGAGGAATTTTAACGTTATCCCATCCTAGTCATCAGAAAAACCTCAACCGTTTAGTTAACATCAGTGTTATGTGCGTCGGGGACATTAATTAATTATTTATTTATTTTTCCAGGTCCAACTTTCTGTTTATACTTTTTGTCTTTTTCTTCTTTTTTGGACACGGGGAATCCCGGACAAGCCCCCATAAATATGTTACGACCACCCAGGCCACGACATATTTGAGGACATGAGACAAACATGAGGGCCAAAAGAATTATTTTATTCTTAATCTCTGGAATTTCTTTTTAGATCAGGTGTTTTGTTTTTCTGCAAAGAGACAAAAAAAAACAGAGTCAGATTTTTTCCCCAGTTCCCCGTGTCCAAAAAAAAAAAACAGAAGAGTGCTAGAAGAAAAAGACCCAAAGTACAAACAAAAAGTTGGACCTGGTAAGCCGATCCAAAGAAACAAAACGTCACAGCAGAGGGACAACCCTATACAGGGCCGCCAAAGCCTCTGCTAGTAACGAACTAACGGTTAAAACACAGGACAACCGGTCCCACCAGGTCAAAGTTAGAAAAACTCAGCAAAAAACAAAGGCTAAGGAACAAAAACACCGCATGGCAGGCTGGAGAGAGAGGCTAACAGGTGGAAACCCAGCCTACTTATAGGAGGACCAATATCACCCAAATTAACGTAATTGAGTTACAAAAGAAAAAAGAATTATCAAGAGTCTAAAAAATAAGCTATTCAACTAAGGTCTATGCAACACTAGAAGGAAAAATAAATAATGTGCCCGACGCACATAACAATCAGTCACAACAGCACAGATCCTGAACTCTGCTGAGCGATGATTCTCCAGCTTCCTAAGATTAAGACCAAACCACCAGTTCAGCTAAAACTGAGTCTTTTGAAAACTTTAAGAATCTGTGCTCGGATCTCCTTTCTTCTGCTCTAATTTCTTCCCCCGACACAAGAAATTCATCCATTTGTTTTTGTTTTTTAATCCACCGATATGCAGATGAATCACCTGCTGTGATCGTACCTCATTGTTCTGTACAGCAGTTAAGATCTTCCAGACCTTTTCTCAGGAGCTTAAACCCAAATATCAAATATAAACTAAGGACTGGCCTCTGATCACCTGCTTAAAGTTGATAGAGGTGGTAAAACTTTAACCAAGCTGGACTGCTGTCCATCTGTGAATGAGAGACTGTGGGAAATGTAACTTAAGACTCTAAAACAGCAATATCTCTTAATCCTTAATCCTGGATCAAGTCTCTGGAAAAGTTTACGACAGGATGCAGGTTCAACCAATCAGCATTCACTTTAATGTTTCATCATCACGTCACAATCAACAGGAGGTCACATGGTCACAAACAGGAAAACACTGTGGAATTACTACTTTCACAATAAGAGCATTTCTTCCAGCCAATCAGGCGTCCGGATCACAGCAGAGTTGTGAGACTCGTTCCGCGATTGGCTGGATTTAGCTGGAGACTTTTATTTTTTTTGTTAAATCGGGAAGCATTTAAAGCAACAAACAGGTTTTATTTTTTGAAAATATAAATACGTTGTAAACATAAGCACAGGAAATATAACATCGACAGATCCGGACCAAGCCCCGCCCCCCCTCGGGGCCTTGAACGTGGCTCCGCCCCCCCTTTTCAGCCGGCCACGCGATAGTTGGCGTGAACCTCCGGCTGGATGTCGCAGATGTGTCGCAGCAGCTCGTTCAGCACCTTCTCCCGGTTGCCGCGGTAACTGTCCTGGATACGAGCCATCCTCTCCACTGTTTCGCGATCAACCTCCACGGCGCTGTTACCATGGGAACCGAGAGCCTGGGAGGGGCAAAAAACAGACCGATGAGAAGGAGAAACAAAACTTTATGGCAGCTTTTTATTTGGTGTTCAATGCAAACAGCTGTAAACGTTATTTTACTGGGTGCTAGCAGCTTCATGTAGTTTACCAGGAAAACCAAACCTCTTTCTACTGGTTTAGAAAAAAAGGAAATAAGTTATATTTCACAATGAAGGATATTTTGTAGAGTAAAAGGCAACATTTCATCATATAAATGCCTGGAGTTCTTTATGGATAAACCTTTAAATGTCCAGATTACACCTGGGTTGGTTTAGCATGTCTGCTGGTGCTGGTTGGTGATTGGTCAGAGGAAGGAGGAGGAGGCGGCCTAGTGCTTAGTGCACAGAGCTTAGAATCATGAGGTTTTGAGTTCAAAGACTGCCACTCAGGGTCCTTGAGCCAGACCCTTGACCCCACACAATGGCAGCCCACTGCTTCCCAAGGTGATTGGTTAAATCAGGCATCCCCACAGTGGGATCTGGGGCCGCAGTCCTGCAGGTTTTAGAGGTTTCTCTGCTCCAGCGCAGCAGATTCACATTGATAGGTGATTAAGAGACTTTTGCTGAACTGGAATCATCAAAATCAGCTGTGCTGAAGCAGAGAAACCTCTAAAACCTGCAGGACAGCGGCCCCCCAGGACCCACTGCTTGGGTTAAATGCAGAGTCCATTTCGATTCTCTATACTTGTGACAGTGTAATGACAATAAAAACTGGGGGGGGGGGAACAAATTCAAATGAGGATCAGAGGAAAACCTAAGAAGGAACCAAGAAGCTTCAAATGAGGAGAAAAGGAGAAGGACAGGCGGACGAACAGAGGAGGAACTCACAGCAGCTTCCTTGGTCTTGAACTCCTTCTCCCTCTGCAGGCGGTACTGTTCAATCTCAGCCTGGGCCTCCTCCTTCGCCTGCTTCAGACGCCGGTTCTTACCTGCAGAAACACACGAAACACTGATAACGACCAGATCAACCCCACCAGGACAAAACTGGGATCTAGTTCAGCCTGAGGATCTCTGAAGTTTAGCATAAATGTGTATGAAATAAAGTCCTTTAATGTCTGTTAAGCAGCAGGAAGGACACAGGAACATTGTTCGGGTTTATTTATTGTTCCAATAAACTAACTTTCATACAAACAGTTTATATTCTAGTCCATTTATCAGATGAATTATGGGCTTTATTCATCCTTAGGTGATAAAGAATGGTACGATGGAGTATTAGGGCAAGGCTAGTATTAGGGCTAGGTTTCTATTGAAAATAAAGTTGTAACATTATGAGAATAAAGTCAGAAATAAGAAGCACTTTCTTCCCTAAAATGAGGAATGTGGGGCATTATGTGAAGTTATACTTTGGCTTCAGTTTGACAAATAAGGAAATCTTTTAGCACATCAGCTTCTCATAATATTACGACTTTATTTTTGTCATTTTACGACTTTATTTTCATAATTTTATGACTTAATCCTCAAAAAAAAAATAATAATAATAATACTCCGTTGAAGAATTGAGCTAAATTTGATCAATAGAAATTCAAAATCAATCAAAATTAAAGGAAATAGGAAAAAAGATCTAAAACTAAAAAAAAAAAAAAATAGAAACATAAAAGGGAAAAAAGATTTGTAAATAAAATAAATGTTTAAAACTACTTTTCACTTTAATTTTTAAGTTACATAAAAAAAAAACTAAAAATATATATCAGTTTCAGACCAACACTAAGAAACTTTTCAACCTTCATAAAATAATTTGATAACTTTTGTGATTATACTAGTTGAAAGACGTCTCTGCCATGGCCTGAGGAGGTCTGTATCGCTTTAAACCAACACTAAGCACCTTTAAGGAGGGCAGCAGTAACACAAACCAACTATAAATATGCAGACTGCTTTATGGTATTTTGCATATTCATGCAAAGTGTTCACAGCTGATATTCAGCCAATGATGCACCTTCCTTCCTGCTGGGATTAATCCGTTTATTGTGAAATTATCTAACATAACATTATTATTACCCCGTTTACACCACCCCTCTGAAACCGATCCATGCCGAGCTCGCTTCCTTACCACCATTTCTACACCACCCCAGCACGGTTCCTCGCCTCCTAGTGGCGATCTACGGTACTACTGCTCTCTAGAGGTAAACAAGCAAACCAACATGGCGGCGCCCGTAACATTCAGGAAGTTTGCGGAGAGTCAGGCCAAGAAAGCAGCCTTTGGTGAATTTACTTGACAGAGTCGGCTTTTGGGAAGTGGATACGACAAACGATCGTCTAATCAGGGCTTCCAGACGCAGGAAACAACGACAGACGTTGAGGTTCATCCCACTGCTGAGCAGAATCATCACTGGAAATCGTGCAGGAATCTAGGATTTTTATGAATGTCCGAAATTTCCTGATTCCAGAGGCTGACTGTAAGGAGACGATGCGGTCTGCTCATGCACTCTTTGTTATCTGAGACAGAACTAAATCGCGC